TGGCCGCGACGGGCTGGCAGCGTCCGTGCTACCTGAAGCCGTGGGCGGCCACTCCCTCCCAGTGCCTCCGGGGGTGTCTCGGGGCCCACCAGGTTCCCTGTGCCCAAGATGCTTCCTTATGCTTGTGTCCCGAGAGGTGGCGGGTGACATCAGCGCGAGTCGCACCTGGAGGTGTGACCTCAGCCAGGGTTTGCTGACTGACGCAGTGGGCAGGGCACCTTCCTCAGTTTCCTTTCTGTGTGTTCCTGATGAGCATCGTGTGTGTATGTGCATGCAGGCGCATGCATGTTTGGAAGCAGGCCTGGGCCAGCGTTCTTCTTTTTTTTTTTTTCTTCCTTTTTGGGTCACACCTGGCGATGCATAGGGCTTACTCCTTACTCTGCACTCAGGAATTACCCCTGGTGATGCTCAGGGAACCCTATGGGATGCTGGGAATTGAACCCGAGTCTGCCGCGTGCAAAGCAAACGCCCTACCCACTGTGCTATCTTTCCAGCCCCTTTCTCCGTTTTTGGAGAATTTTAATTTATATGTTGAAAGCTGCACAAAACCCGATTTTCTGTCTTTCTGGAAGCCTCTGAAAGAGCATTTGGTCTGTGGTGAGCGATTTCTAGAACCTTCCCTAGAACCTTCCCTCTGTGCTTTGACAAGTGGGAGGAAGGGGAAGGGAGCTGAGGAAGCTTCTGGGCAGGGAAGGCGGCCCCCTGCCAGGCTGCTTGAGTCCCTCTGCCTGACCACGTGCGGAGCGGTTTATTGACCATTTATTGACCCGAAGCCTCCTGATAACAGACCAGGGTGCTTCCCAGATGCTGGGAACTTCGGGGAGAAGGTTCACGTGAATACAGTTTAGCACCCCACGCTGAGCTGTCCGCACCCATTGTACAGTGTCTGCCAGCAGAAACATGGGGCTGGGCCCGCCCGCAAAGTAAACGCCTCGCCCTGCCGGCCTGGCAGATGCAGGTCACATGGACCAGCCCTGGAAAGTGTGTGTGTGTTTGTGTGTGTGTGTGTGTTTGTGTGTGTGCTGTGTGTGTGTGTGTGTGTGTGTGTGTGTGTGAGAGAGAGAGAGAGAGAGAAACAGACTTTCTTGCTTCTTCTTGAATTCACTGTAGCACTGTCCTCCCATTGTTAATCGATTTGCTCGAGCGGGCCCAGTAACGTCTCCAGTCTCCATCGTGAGACTTGTTACTGTGTTTGGCATATCGAATGTGTCACGGGGAGCTTGCCAGGCTTTGCCTTACGGGTGAGATACTCTCGGTAGCTTGCCAGGCTCTCCGAGAGGGGCGGAGGAATCAAACACGGGTCGGCTGGGTCAGCTGCGTGCAAGGCAAATGCCCTACCTGCTGTGCTGTTGCTCCACTGTTATGAATTCACTGTGTTATTATGAAAGTTAGTTAGGAAGTTAGGGGAAAACCTTTCTTTCTCCTTGGAGTATTCTCGGAAAGAGCATTTGGTGTGTAGTGAGTTGGTTTCCAGAATTTTCCTCCCATGGTGTGCTTTGCCCAGAAAGGATGAGTGCTGCCTGGACCCTCCCCGCCAGCGTGAAGGAGGCTGGTGGAATTGGGCTGGGAGGGTCTCCTCGGGGAAGGTCTGCATGACTATAAAAGGCAGCCCCGTCGTCTCCCAAGGAATCCTCTGTGTCTCCACTGTCATATTTTATGGCACAGCCTGGAGCTGGAGAGGAGCCGGGCCTGTGTCTGGCGGGGGCGGGGGGAATGGGGTAGGGAAGCAGGCAGTTCGGGTACCACTTCCAGGTATCCCGGCGGCCTTGCCGCTGTCCTCATGGAGAGCACTGCTGAGTGCAGGTGGACAGGGAGCAAGGGCCTGTGGGGGTGAGTGGCCTCGGAGTCCCCTGGAGAGCCCTACGTGGGAGAGGAAGCACAGCCCATTGTCCTGCGTTCCCTCTGCTGGCTGTGTTCAGATCCAACACCCCCTTTTCTGCTTCTGGGCCCCAGAGAGCTGATGGAGGAGACCCCGGAGCCGGGGGCCGGATCCTCACCACGCACCTGCCCAAAGCCCCCCTTTTTTTCCCTTGGTGTGTTTCTCTCTGACTCTGTTTCATCCTTGGTCCCGTTCTGTCATCCGAAGGACACTCTGCTCCTCCTGGCAGGCTTGGAGGACTGCTTGATTTGGGGAGGGGAGGGGGGTTTGTCAAGTTTCTGGGACCTGGTTGTTCGGGGGGATCAGCCCCCGTCCTGAATCCACCGGGTGGTATAGATGAGAGATGCTTCGTTGTCATGCCCTGCCCGGGCGGGGGGGTGTTGCCTGGCTCTCGTAGCAGCTGGCTTCTCTGGGAAGTGGATCTGATGGCAGGGGACAGTCATGCTGCCCCCAGCGTCGGGCTCGAAGCCGGAAGCCTGTTCAGGCCCTGCGGCTCCAGACTGGACAGTGGGATTGTCCATGGCAAACAGGCGTGGGCGCCACTCTAGGGGTGCCCTGCGCCCACAGTGGGGGTGTCTGCCTGGGCACTGCAGGGCGGCACTGGAAGATGAGGTCACTGTGTGTTGTCCTGTTGTATAGGCCGGCTTGCTCTGCAGCAGTGGAGATGGAGTGAGGGGCGGGCAGTGTGGCCGGCGCTGGGTCGCCTCCTGCCTCTGCCCCTACAGGCGTTGGTGCCCCTTAGCCCCTCCCAAAGAGCTGTGGGACCTGGCGGCTGGCTAGGTGTGGGAGGAGACCCGGGAAGCGGCTTTTCTTGAAAACTGAGCATCACATCATGTCTGTGTGCAGAGCTTGCACTCTGACTGCGAGTGTGCCCAGAGTCAGGCTTGGAACGGTCCAGGTGTGGCCCCATGGGGTCGTGGGGCCAGACATGGGTCCCAGACCCCCTGCAAAGGGATGGGCTGGGGGCAGTGCTGCTGTGCACACGCCAGCTTCCTGCTCAGTCGTGTTGGAGTGCTAACATAGCTCAGAGGGAAGCACATTCTAGAACCTTCTAGGAGACGGTGGTCATCTGAAGTGTGCCTTATTGTATGAGCCGAGCTCACCCCGGTCGGTTCATTCTGGCCTTGAGGTACGTGAGGGGACTGGGTGATGTCCCATAGAGTCCCCCTCACTCCCCACCTGATCTTGCCCCTCGCGACCCCCTAGCGCCCCTGGTAATGGAGTGGCCGCTTGCCCTCAGAGCCGCGCTGTGTGGGCTCAAAGGCTGGGCTGCAGCCTTGGGGTGCCGGCCACTGTCTGCAGACTGTCCAGCACTGGCAGGTCGTGGCTCTAAGCTCGGGGATGGTGAGCTTTTCTTTCCTGTGGTTGCTGTCTCAGGAGATGCTTCCTTGACACCCCCTCCCCCCACTGTGTTACTGTCCAGCTGTTTCCTTGGTGCCCCTGTGGTGACAGGTCCCCATGCCCAGGGACTGCACAGCCGTGTCCTTCCCGCTGCTTCCCCAGGGCGGGAATAAATCCAACTCACCCAGAGGTGCCCGAGAGCATCTGGAAGCCACGTCTGGGTGAAGCAGACCTTCCCCTGGGGGTGCTTGTGTCTGTGTTTACAGGGGTGTCAGCCTCTGGTGCTGCCCTGGCCCCCCGCGTGGGCTTGTGATTATGGGGAGATGAGTCCCAGCACGGCTGCTTCTCCCTCTGTCCGTGCTGGGGTGGTGCTTCCCAGTACAAGGGGCTGCTGCGGGTTCCTTAGGGCTGGGGCCACAGTTGCCCCATCCCTGGGGCCACAGGGGCTGGACTCTCTGGTGTCTCCCTGGACAGTGTCCCCTGAGCCTGCGGTCAGGTTCGACCTGGGTCACCTGCCATGTTGAGGGGCTCCCCGGAGCCTGAGACCCGCCTCCCTCTCTGGTGCTGCCCTGGAACTGGACCTGCTGGTCAGAGGGTGGTGGGGGTGGCCGATGGTGAGGAGGTGATGGGGAGGTCCCCGACTTCGGTGATTGATGGTAGCGGTTCTCAGGGCAGGTGGGCAGGGAGGACCAAGCTCACAGGGAGGCCTGGGGAGGAAGGAGACGCCGTCTAAGAAGCAGTCAGAGGCCTGACCAAGCTGGCACCCAGGATGGGAGGGGCCATCCCGGAAGGACTGAGTGGGCCCCGCCCTCGGCTGGTTGCCGCACGCCAGACGCGCTCAGATGCCACTTGTCCGTTCTCTGCAGTTTGTTGCTTTCTGACTTTTTTTTTTTGGGGGGGGGGGGGTTGTGGAAGGGCTCTTCAGTCTCCAGACTGTTTTACAAAAAAAATGGCATGTCCCAGTTCATCCCAGCACAGAGCCAAGTGTTCACATCAGCACAAGGCTGAGGGACATGCAGGTAGAATGTGGCTTTGTAGAAGGGGCCACTCGCTTCCCTTGAGTTGGGACATTTGGCTTAAGCAAACTTGGCTTAGCAGCAGTTGACCACATCTGGCACCGATAAATAGGGGTGAGTGTGTGTCCACGCAAGCGTGCACCTGTCCACAGTGTGTGTCCGTGAGTGCGTGCATCTGTCCACACAGCCACGCGCCATGCTGAATGCCAACCTGGGTTTTTCATACACACTCTTTTTTGTTTTGTTTTGTTTTTTTGGGTCATACCCGGCGATGCACAGGGGCTACTCCTGGCTCATGCACTCAGGAATTACTCCCAGCAGTGCTCGGGGGATTATATGGGATGCTGGGAACCGAACCTGGGTCGGCCACATGCAAGGCCAATGCCCTACCTGCTGTGCTGTCGCTCCAGCCCCTCACGCACACTCTTACGCCATGTTAATAGAATTTCTGGGCATTGCTAGTGGGCTTGGGACTGGCAATGGGCTGACAGGTTTCTGGTGTGTGCGTGCAGCCCTTCAATTTGTGGAGCCACGCGGGGCAGCTTTGCCGGGCGCTTCTTCCTCCAGCCGGTACTTCAGATGCTCGGGCCGCTTCCTGGGGTGTGGGAGAGGCCAGACACCACCTGCGGAGGGGGGGGGGGGCGCGTGCCAAAGCCAGGGCTGTCTCTGCTGCGGATCAATGGGCCTCCACTGACCTGTGTTGGACCTTCTCTCCTCTTCCTCCTTTCCCATCTGTCTCCATCTTCTCTCCCACCTCTCTGCAGAACCACCAACCAAATACCAAATCTCCCAACCAGAAGTTTACGTGGCCGCGCCCGGGGAGTCGCTAGAGTTACGCTGTCTGTTAAGAGATGTCGGCATGATCAGTTGGACTAAGGATGGGGTACCCTTGGGGCGCAGCAATAGGACAGTGCTTATTGGGGAATACTTGCAGATAAAAGGTGCCACGTCTAGAGACTCCGGCCTCTATGCTTGTACCGCTGCTAGGACCCTAGACAGCGCCTCTGTCTATTTCATGGTCAATGTCACAGGTGAGTCTGGCGCTCCCCCCCTGCTTCCTCTTCTCTGTCAAGCTTTTCGGGGCATTTCCTACTGGACAAGTGAGCTCCTAGTGGGACCTGGGCATGGCCGCCACAGAGCTTCACAGTTCGTTTTTTATCAGCTTTTGGAGTTCTGGGACTCCGCGCCAGGCTGTTTTCATTGGGGTGCTCCAGGGGGTGGGGTGGGGTGGGCGAGAGCCCTCTCCGCCCCACGGGACCCAGCCCTGGTGGCCGTCCTCTACTATCCAAACGCCGCCACACTCCAGTCATGACACATCATAAGACACCTCCTTCCCATTTTTCATAATTACCACACTATGTTTGATGGAGTTCAGACAGTAGGCAGCAAATCATAGAGAGGAATATATATATATATATATATATATATATATATATATCACTGTCACTGTCCTCCAGTTGTTCATTGATTTGCTTGAGCGGGCCTAGTAACATTGTGAGACTTGTTACTGTGTTTGGCATATTGAATACCTCATGGGTAGCTTGCCAGGCTTTGTTTTGATATATGTATACATCTATATATGTATATATATATGCACGACACATTATAAGACACTTAATACCCATCTCCCAGAATTGCCGCACCATATTTGATAGGGTTCAAATATGGTTTGAACTATGGGAACACCTACAAGGGCGATTAGAGGCCACCCCAAAAGCCTCTATCCCTCTCGAAGAGCCTGGCAAGCTACCGAGGGTATTCCACCCGGACGACAGAGCCTCGCAAGCTATCCGTTGTGTATTTGATATGCCAAAACCAGTAATTACAATGGGATATATATATATATATATATATATATATATATATATATATGCATGCCTTTTGGAGAGCCCGGCAAGCTACCGAGAATATCCCGCCCGCATGGGCAGAGCCTGGCAGGCTCCCTGTGGTGTATTCGATATGCTAAAACCAGTAATTATAACAGGTCTAATTCCCCTGACCCTGAAAAAGCCTCCAATCATTGGGAAAGACGAGTAAGGAGAGGTTGCTAAAAATCTCAGGGCTGGGATGAACAGAGACGTTACTGGAGCCTGCTTGAGTAAATTGACGAACAACAGGATGATCGTGATACAGTGAAAGACAGCTGTCTCCCATCCCCTCCCCCCACACACCCCACACCCCCTACCCCACGGTCCCCCAGTGCCACCAGCCTCTTTAACATCTAGAACATAGGATTGAGAGGCAGAGGCTGGGGATTTTTGTTACCTTCTATTCAAAGGTGTGATTCTAGAGCCCTTGCCTCGCACGCCTGAGGCCCTGGATTCGACCCTACACCAGCAAGGCCAAACCCCATAAATCACCGATAATTGAATCAAACTGGAGTTTCTCTCCTTAAATTATTTTTTTCCCCCATGAGGTTGAGGGGGGAACTGTGCGGTCCTGTCTTTGGCCGCGTTGAAAGTGTTGGTTCCCAAATGTTAGTAAACAGTCTGAGACCACACACACACACACACACACACACACACACACACACACACACACACACGCAGAGCTCAATCTTCCTGGGCTCTCATTCCTGCCTCCAAGAGGACCCCAGCTGAGAGGGGGCATGGGAAAGCGTTTCTAGGAGAGGGCTGGGATTTAGGGGGGCACTTGGGTATTGTGGAAGCTTAACATCCAGTTTGGGTTCTGTCCAGTTTCCTGGCCTGTTTGAAATCACGTGCCCGTGCCCCAAGCCCGGAGCCGCGGGGTGGAGTGGAGCCCGAGGCAGGGGAAGAAAATGGGCTAACGCCCGTCTCCCCCAGACACAGACTCTCTGTGTGGGTTTCTGGGCGGCCGAGTCCCTTGCCCCCAGGACTGCGCTGACGCTGACGACAGCCTCTGGCCCCACACACACACACAACGCTGGCTGTGTTGTCTTGAATACAGATGCCATCTCATCTGGAGATGACGAGGACGACTCGGACCCAGAAGATGCGCTCAGTGAGAACACTAACAGCAAGAGTAAGTAGAGGCCAAGTGCCCTGGAGAGCCGCTGGGCGGCCCGGGCCCCTCCCCGTCTCCCTGCGGACCCACCGGCGCCCGTGCCCCAGACTCTCAAATCTGGAATAAACTCTGCTCACTGCACAGCTCTGCCGTCTGTCTTTCTTCCTGTGTCCGTTGTCTCTGCTGCTCCTCGTCTCTCTCCGTGGGCTTCTCCTTCTCTCTGGTGTCTGACGTGTGGGGGGGGGTTTGCAGCGCCACACGCCACCCTGATTTTCCCTGTGACTGTTGTGATTGCTGGGCTTCTCCCAGTCTGCTTTCCCCCCAGACCCTTTTGTTTAAATTCCGTGGCTTACAAAGTTGTTCATGATGATTAGTTACAGACACCCGATGTTCCAACCCCAAGCCCACCATCACTGTCTCCTTCCTTTCACCACTGTCTCCATTTTTCCCGACCACCCCTCAAGCTTGCCCCTGTAGCAGACCCACAATCAATTTTTTTTTTTTTGCTTTTTGGGTCACACCTGGTAGTGCTCAGGGGTTACTCCTGGCTTATACACTCAGGAATTACTCCTGGCAGTGCTCGGGGGACCATATGGGATGATGGGGATTGAACCCCAGGTTGGCCGCGTGCAAGGCAAACGCCCTACCCGCTGTGCTATCACTCTAGTCCCACCAATGATCAATTTCTTTGATATTTCTTGTTCCCACTAAATGGCTCATGGATCACGATCACGATCATCCTGTTGTTCGTCGATTGCCTCGAGCAGGCCCCAGTAACGTCTCCTTTGTCCTAGCCCTGAGATTTTTAAAGAAGTGCCATATTCAAGGCTCTTTCAGGGTTAGGAGGATGAGACCCATCATTGTTACTGGTATTTGGCATATTGGGTACGCCACGGGGAGTTTACCAGACTCTGCCGTGTGGGCAGGTTACATTTGGTAGCCTGCCAGGTTGTCCAAAGCAAGAATGAGATAATAAGATGTTGAGCGGCCGTGAATGCGGCCGCACGCTTCTGGGAGCTGGGTTTTATAGTCTCTGGGACTTGGCCATTGATGGGATTACACGGCGTCCGGGGTGTGTGTGGGGGGAGAAGTTGGTGGGTGTGACCCCTGCCTACTGGAAGATGGAGGATCTGGGTGGAGGATGCTCAGCCCCAATTAGAGCAGGCTTGGAGATCTCAACCCCGGGACCCGCATGCCTTTGTTCTTCTGCCGGCACCTCCATGCGTGTGGAGAGTGGTCTCAGCATGGTTGTGGCTGGTTCTGGAGGTCTTCGGCTGCGGGGGCTCTGCTTGGGGTCGGGAGGGAAACTCAACCCGCCCCCCTCCAAGGGGCCACAGTGAGGACAGCCAGGCGCGGGGGCAGGAGACTCTGGAAGATGGAACTATCCAAAAATAGTTTTTTAGGAGAAAGTTTGTGCAAATTGTCATATCTCACCATGGGGACATTGAGTCCTTCTCTGAGAGTTAGCTAAGCTGCTGTGGTGGGTTAAGCCTTCTGTGTTCATGTTAGTGGAGATTGGTGGACCTCTATGCTACATCCCATCCAGTCTGGCGGCTCCTCCTGGGATGTCGGTCTTGTAGAGTTTGGTGGTGTCACTCCAGAAAATCCAGAATATTTAACTGGACATTCCGGCTGGAGGCATGGCGGCAGCTTTGAGGTGTGGGAGCGGCTGCCGGGGCCTTGGTAGGGTGGAAGCAAGAACACCTCGGAGGTCTCAGCCGGGACTGGGTAACTGAGAAATTTTCATGCGTGGTTGATCTTTTTCGAGGTTTCTTTACGAGTCTCTGGGACACAGCAAGTAGGTGAACTCACAAAGAGGCAGCGGTGGAACATGGGCCTTACCCAGTGGTTCTTAATGGTTCTTAAATGTTGTTTCTCCTCCTCTCCATCCTGCCGGGGGTCCTGAGAACCCTGAGAGACGCTCTTAGTGGTCTGAGACTGTAGCACAGCCCGCACCAGTAAAACAGTCACTTCAGGTGGCTAACTGGGCGGCGTTTGAGACTCCAGGATCCTTTCATTTAATTCAAGTCTTCTGTTTTTGGGGCCACACCAGGTAGTGCTCAAGGCTTACTCCTGGCTCTGCTCAGGGATCACTCATGGCAGTAATCAGGGCGGTGGGGGGGCATTGGTGGGGGTCGGGATTGAAGCTGGGTGGGCCGTGGCAGCATGCTAGGCCCTCCCCGCTGCAGTGTCTCTCCGGCCCCTCGGGAGGCCTCTAAAAGGTTGCAGTATTTTAGAAGCCGTCGAAGAGGGCCAGCACCGCATTTTGTGGACATTGATTAAAAGGACATCAGAAGTGTCGTGGAAGGCCCCCTGAGTGGGCCTGCTCTGGGTGGGAAGATGGTTGTCTCGTGGCGATGGCAGCCTGGGTTCTGGTCTGTCCCCTCTTCTGTGAGGGGGGGGGGGGGCTTGGGCAGGCCAGCAGGCCTGCAGGGCTTGTGCCTCTATTTCCTTCACTGTGAAATGGGCACGCTGACAGTATCTGATAGTGACCCCGGCTGGTTAGGATCTGCTGGCTGGTTTTCTCACAACTAAGGCGTGTGCTTGAGGGTGTTTATTCAGCAAGGAGATAAAGCATGGCCTTCCTTCGCTGTGTTTTCCAGCCCGACTGCTGTGGCTGGAGTGCTCCCAGAGGGACTGCACATTGCTCCCCGGACTTCTTTGCCTGGGTTTTATCTTCTCCTTTTCCTCAAAAGGGATTTTTGCTGCATTGATTTAAACAAGGCCTGAACAATAGGACAGTTAGTTATTAAAATAGGCCCCAGGGGTTGTTTTTCAAGGAAAAAGAGAAAATCCATGTGTTCGGGCTTCAAGGGGATAATGTGTCCTTAAGTGGGGGGATTGATATTTGTCCCTGAGTCTCTGAGCAGCTTGGGGCAAAAATGGAAATATTTTGACTTGTCGAGTTTTCCGTCAAGAGGAAACTTGGGGTCCTTGACTTCATGGGTCAGTCTCATTGGAAGCAGAGAAATGAAACTTCTCAGGCCTCCCCCCACAGCCTCTGGGGGTGTGCTGAGCGCTGGCCTCCAGGAGGGCTGACCCACAGCTCCGGGTTTCAGGGTCCCAGACCAAGCAGCGGGAAGGAGGCAGGGACGGTGCCTCCCTCTGGGGGGTCCGACTCCACAGGGAGGGGTTATGATTCCGACACAGTCTGGTGTGTGCCCCGCCCAGCCCCGCCCCGCCCCACCCTGCGAGCCTGGTCTGGGGCACACTCAGCCGTTCTTTGGCGCAGCAGGGATGGGCCTGGCCACGACCCTGAGTCTCTGCGTGGGCTCCACCAATGCCCCCATTCTCCCACCTCCTTCTTCCTTGCTGGGGAACTGGCGATTCTGCCCGGCAGCGCATGGCTGGCTTGTGCCTCAGTGGCCAGCTCGCCGCCTGCGAGTGAGAGTGAAGTGGGGGGCTGGTATTCCTCTCCCCATCTCTGGGGGGATGGTGAGGGGCAGGGAGAGCGAGGATCCCGGGACACCCAATTCTGCCAGCTCGGCTCGTTGGCATGCCTGGTTTGTCTGGTACGGTCCTGGCGGCCAGTGCCACTCCGGGCCAAGAGGCGATGGGACCCAGCCCGTGAGGGTGCAGGGAGTGGCCTGCCACTGACCTCCAAGGCTGCGTCGTCCTGCGGGTCCGTCCGAAGCCCCGGAGCTCAGTGGGCTGGCCAGGCCTTCCCCTTGCAACCAGGGTTCTTTGTAATTAGCTCTCGAATGACACCAACTCTGCCCCGAAACGGGTGCCCTGCAGCGATTAAGGGCTGGAGTTAACTGTACCAGCCAGATACCGCTGTCGGGAACGGCCTCTGTGTGGTGCCTGTGAAACCTTAGACGCGATTTAAAGTGATAGCAGTTCTGAGCCGGCTACGTGGCCGGTGCCATCTGTCGTGTGATTAGGCTGGTCTGATTCACAGCTGCAGCCCGGGGCGGCTGGGGCGGGCAGAGGAATGCCAACGCCGAGGTGATGGGCAAGACTGGCCATGGACTTCACCACCGCCGTTCCTTGGCCGCCCTGAGTGTCAAATGCCTGTCCCAATTAACAGGGAGAATTGCGGAAGCCCTGAGTTCTTTGCGTTTTCTGCTACCTGTCAAACACATGTGTGCCCATGGATGATCATTCTGGAGCCTTGTGATGGGTCGGACCCGCCTCTGGGTGGGTTGGCACGTTTCCCTGTACTGACGCTAATGAAGCCCACTCTGTGACCCCAGGTGACGTGACGTTGCTGAGAAGGTGGGTGGGAGAGATTAGGGCCACAACTTTGGATTTGTCAGAGGCGTTGAGGGACCTTTGCTCTCCTGTGTGCAAAGTTTCTGTTCAGTGCCTTTGGGGGTGTGGCTGGTGACCAGTGTCCAGAAAACCAGAAATCAGTCAACAATTGAGGCAGGACTGTTGACAATGCCCTCTTGACACTGTGTTTGTAAGCACAGAGGGCTGACTTGATTTTTAAAAATAATTTATTTTGGGGGTGGGGAAGTATCTTGGGGTTACTCCTGGTTCTGTGTTCACAGGTGCCTGGGAGATGATGCAGTGTTGAGGCCAGACCCAGTGGTTCTCCTGCATGCTTGAACTATTGTTGGCTCCTGATTTATTTTGAGGGGTGGATGGGTTTTGGGGCATACCCAGCTGTGCTCCAGGCTTACTCCTGACTTTGTGCTCAGTGATCACTCCTGGAGATCCATATGCAATGCCAGGGACAGAACCGAGATTGTTTGGAGGCTGAAGTGATAGCACAGCAGGTAGGGCATTTGCCTTGCACACAGCCGACCCAGGTTCGATTCCCAGTATCACATATCGTCCCCTGAACACCGCCAGGAGTAATTCCTGAGGGCAGAGCCAGGAGTAACCCCTGTGCATCACCAGGTGTGACCCCTCCCCCCCAAAAAAGAACCGAGATTGTTTGAGTGCAAGGTCACACTTTTCCACTTTACGACCTTTCTGCCCCCGATTTAAATTCTCTAGCAATGTGTGCAGTGTTGGGAGGGATCTGGACTCTTGATCATCCCAGACCCAGGTTCCCTGCTGACTTGTGT